GGGGGGAGGGGGAGAGAGAGGAGGGACCTAAACTGAGGAGCCCCTGTGTTCCTCCGGAGAAGTGCACGCTGGAAATGAGGTGCACAGTCACAACACAGCGCAGAAAGTACTAAATCTCCCACAGAGGTTTAGCAGAAACCTGGAGAAGGTCAGAGCTAGGAGAAGTGGCTTCAGCCAGTGCAGAGGAATGGAGAAATGAACAAAAGCGTGATTCTTACGCACTCGCTGTATGGCAGCCCTTTCTGGGGGATCGCCATCCATCAGCGGGGTTAATCTCAGATTCCCTTCAGCCCTTGCACCCACAGGAACTGGGACAGGAGGCCAGCTGGAGTGTGGACCTGTGCTCTGTACAGGCCCCTTCTCCCGCTGCCCGGTACTGTCTGTACTTTGTGCAATCGCTTGCACACGTCTCCCACTAGGCTGTGAGCCCCGTGTCCTGAAACTGCCTCTGCCCCCATCGCTGCTGTGCTCTGTGTCACTTCCAGCAGGTCCAGCTCTCAGCACAGCACCGGGCTGACCTCAGGTGCTCTCTACATATCTATTCAGAAGGAAGGGCCTGAGGCAAGCAAGGAAGAAGAAAGAAGTTCAGAGAAATGTCCACACCTAGAAAATTATGGAGAAAGATTCAAACCCATATCTCCTGCCTCTAAATCTCTAATTTCAAATATCCAAATAACAATCAAATATTCAAATAACAAAGAACAGCGTGGCTTTGGGTACACCCCTGCCCTCTCCATGCCTAGCAGGAAGGTATTTCAGGGGACAGCAGTGGCTCCAGGTTAAACTGTAGGTGAAGGGAGGCTGAACAGACAAAACTCAGCCCCCCTCTTGAACAATATTGTTGAGACTTTGAGGGAAACAACAAAAACTTTGTTTTATTGCTGGGACAAGTAATGTCTGAGGATGCTGGGATGAAGTCCCCACCCATGCTCTCCCCTCTGGCTGTCACACGGGTCTCAGTAACTTCTGTGTCCTTGCAGGATGGAGGGCAATGCCGAATACATCCTCCCTACTGAAACAAGATATGTTGGGGAGATGAAGGACGGCATGTTTCACGGCAAAGGAACCCTGTACTTCCCCAGCGGGAGCCGATACGATGCCATGTGGGAGAAGGGACTGGCTGTAAAGGTGATCAGCCAGGGCTGCAGAGGGGAGATCCCTGAGCAGGAAGCGCTCCCCACACACACTGCCATGGTGCCCTGCCCTCGCTGCCTGGTGCCCACCTCCTTCCACTCTCTCTATCCTGGTTCTTGACCTCCCACAGCTCTAGAGTCTTCTTTCTCCCTCTGGATCTGGAAGAGCCCCTAATGGGGCTGTTAGGAGTTTCAGTCCTGTTACCCCACTTCCTGTCAGATGTGGAGCCCTTGATTTTGCCTCCTGAGACTCTGGGTCAGAAGTCAAATTGGGTCATCAGGGACACATTCCTCATGGAAGCTCTAGGGGGAATCATTACCTCACCTTTCCCAGTTTGTAGAAGCTGCACGCATTCCTTGGCTCCTGACCACACATCACTCCGACCTCTACTTCCAGCACTATATTACCTTCCCTTTCCCTGCTTTTGTCATCATCTCGCCTCCTTTCACCCAGACCTTGCTACTTCAGTCTTAGAAGGACTCTTGTGATTACCTTGGGCACACCCAGATAATCCAGGATAACGTCCCTCACTTCAGGACCCTTCATTTAATTGCATCTGAAAAGTCTCCTTTGCCATGCAAGGCAACATATTAAGTCCCAGCAGACATTGGCATGTTTAGGAGACTACTGTTCAGCCTGCCACAATAGTAATAGACATCTGCTCGGAGGATTGTGGAAATAAATCAGATAAAATGTGTGAGCATTTGGCCAAGATCCTGACATGCAGTAGGCACTCAATACGTGTTAGTTACTATTACTACCACCATCTCTGCTACTATCATTATAAATTGGCTAATTCAAAGATCCAAACTTGGGATTTGTGGACCATCAGTAGATTTCAGGGGTCGGTGAAACCTAATTTTTACACAAAAGTTTCTATGTCTATGGGACTGTTTTTCTCTGGGGAAAAGATCTATAGGTTTTATCAGTTTTACTAAGAGTGTGAATCCAAAAAGAAAGATTGTAAAAACACTTCTTCTTTTATAGCTTGGACAATCTAAGCCCCAGGAAGGGGATGTGACTTACTCAAGGTCACACAGTGAACTAATACTATTGTGGGAATTTCCACCCGTTTCCTGATGCCTAGGCCCACATCGTTTCTACATCCTGAGACTCCCTTTAGCACTAAGGCAGCAAAAGCAGAAGGCACATGTTTGGACCAAGGGCCATGGCTGATGGCTCTGACCTTTCTAGCTATGATAATAATAAAATAATAATATTAACAACATTTATGAGTGCTTACTATATGTCTGTTATTAGAGTTCTTCAGGAAAACAGAACCAAAAGGAGAGAGAGAGAGATTATTAAGAGGGATTGGCTCATGAGATTATGGAGGCTGCCCTAAAATCTGTCCTCTGCAAATTGAAGGCCCAGGAAAACCGGGGCTGTAGGACTAGTTCAAACTTGAAGAATGAGAACCAGGGAGTCAATGGTACAAGTCCTGATTAGTGAAAAGGTCCGGGAAATCAGGAGTGCTGATGTCCAAGAGGAGGAGAAGGGCAGGGGATTTAGCTCAGTGGTTCCACCGCCTGCCTCACAAGTGCAAGGTCCTGAGTTTGATCCCCGGTACCAAAAAAAAGAGAAGGAGAACATGGATGTCCATTCTTGAGCAGAGAACAAATTGGCTCTTCCTATCCTGTTTCTTCTATCCAGGCCTTCAAAGCACTGGATGCTGCCCACCTGATTCAAGGAGGGTCGTCTGCTTTCCTCGGTCTACATCCATTAGAACTGTCCAGTTGCCACATAGAATCAGCTACCACAATCAGGCACTGTGCTAAATGCTTTCCATACACCATCTCATTGAACTCTCAGTCCTCCATTTACTCTATACCAGTGTTATCCTACTTTGACAAAAGTGGATACCAAGGGCCAAGAGAGGAGGTCATCTGCTCAAGTCCACACTGAGAGTTACCTTACTGACTGGCAGGCACAGAGCTCAGAATTTACATTCCTCCACTCCTCACAACCATAATAATTGTGATAGTCATCACTTCGTATCTGTAGCAATGGGAAACCACCTTATTCGCAAAGAGGCTTTGGCTCCTCAGATGCATGTATGGTCTTGTATTCCAGGGCACGTATACTTTCAAAGATGGGCTGCAGTATGATGCGGAACACTGGCATTACTGCGACAGCTATGACCGGAGATTTTACACTGAGATCTGCTATGGCTTGAAGCCTTCAGGTATTCAGGCCCCTCCCCACTTCTCCACACGCAGACTTGGAGGGAAACTGGAAGCAACTTTAAATGAGTGACTGTGGTCCACTTGAGCACCTCGAAGGAGAGGAACTGAACAGCCGCAGAACCTAAAAGACCCAGGTCCTGGAGCCAGAAAGGACAGTCCTTAAATCTTAGCTCCTCTGGACTGGCCAGGGGACTGTTAGCAGTGCCTCAGTTTCCCTCTCCAAAATGGGGCTGATAGCATCGTCTACCTCCCAAGATTGTTGTCAGTAAGATAACTTCTATAAAGGGCTTAGAAGAGTGCCTTGTGTGCACCTGCCACCTGTTCTTATTTATGGTACCTGCTGTAACCCTAAAGATAGGTACATGCTTTAAAAGAGAGGAGGGCAGAGAGCAGCACTGACAGAGCATGTACTCTGTGGACCAGGTGCTAGCCGAGGCTCTCTGTAATCACTGTCTCCTTGACTCCACAGAGGCCCCTGCCTGGTCCCCTTCCCTGTCCGATGTCATAGAGGCAAAAGTTCATGCTGTGAAGTCCAAACATGTTTCCCAATGGCAGAGCTCACCTAGGGGCCTCTGATTTTCTCTCTGATACCCTCTGGATCATGCCACCCCTCTGCAGAAGCATGTTCCACCCCAGAGGGTGACATTTTGGCCAAGAGTCTGGCTTCAGAGAGTGGCAGTTTAAGGGATTCTCTGTATGTCTAAGACTAATGCTAGATCTAGTGAACCCCAAGAAGAGCATGGTTTGAGGCCCAGCAGAGACAATATATCAGAGATCACAAATGGCAAAATGACTTTTAAACTGTAAAGACAATCCCTGTGTAGTTGACAGAACATGGAGCCAGAAGGTCTGGGTTTGAGTCCTAGCGTTCACTCTCAATAACGATGAGCCCAGACAAGCCAACCTCCATTAAGTCAGAAACTTCCAGAAAACACTGAAGTCAGGCAGGCCAGAGTTCCTTGACCAGGATCCTGACTTTGTGACCTTGGACCTTGGACCTTGGATCTGTTGTTTGACCAAGTGGACGACCTTCTCTCCCTTTCCTTTCCTGATCCTCACACACAACAGCATCTCCTCTCCCTGCCCTCTGTAACTATTGATGCTGGGATTTCCCAGAGTTCCCTGGTTCAGGCCTTTTTCTGTTCTTCTAAACTCTATGCCTAAACAACTAGATTCACTTGTAAGCCTTAAACTGTCATCAACTCACAGACTGAAATAAGAATGAGCCTCAGATTCTGCATTTACCTGTACAGGTCATTCCTCGTCTCCTCAGCACTGAATTCATCACCATCCCCACCAACCCACTCTCCCCAAGTGATGATACCACAGTGAATGTCATGTCCATCCACCTAGATAAGCCTGCCTTCCCTTCCCCCTTGCCCCATGTGTAGTTATCACTTGGCCCTGGAGATTCTGCCTCTTAAATGGAATCCTTCATTTGTTCACTCAGCAGATATTTCCTGAGCACCTCTATGTGCCGGGTGGTGTTCTCCTCATCCACTGTCACTGCTCTGTTCCAGACCTCCTTCATTCTCCTCTTGACTGAGTAACTGACTTCCCAAGATCCGTGCCAGTCTCCATTCTGTGATCACTTTCACCTTTTAAAAATGTAGATCTGAGCCAGCTCTGGTGATGCCCACCTGTAATCCCAGCATTCTGGGAGGCTGAGAAAGATTGCAAGTTTGAGCACTGCATGGGCAACTTAGTGACTTAGCAAGACTCTGTCTCAAAATACACAAATGGAAAAGAGGGCTCAGGGTGTAGCTCAGTGCAAAAGCTCTGGGTTCGATCCCCAGTGCTGAGAAATAAAAGTGGATCTGGTTGCCACCCACACATCCACCCCCTTCAGTGCCACCTATAACCCTCAACATGAGGGTCCACATTCTCAAAACAACTTATTGTTCTCTGGCTTCTGCTGATGTGTCCACCTCATCCTCAGGTACCCACTCTGGGTTTTTCTTTCCTTTCTTGCCATTTTTTCTTCTTCTCTCTTCCTCAAAGAGACCACCCTTTCTGCCATTTCTCTACCTGAAATCCTCTAACCCTCACATTTAACCCAAATAATTCCTTCCCATCCTTCAGGTCTAAGCTTTATGTCCATTTCTCCAGAATTCTCTTCCCTGAATTCCTAGACTAAGTGAGGTCCCCCTCTGGTATGTCACAGTGCAGCTGTGACCCTTTTCCCAGAGCATCCATGTTTATGTTTCCAAGCCAGCTGTGAGTAAGGACAGGGCTGGGTCTTATTCACAGCTGTATTCCCACTGCCTAGCCCGTTGCCTGCCATGTAAGAGGCGCTCAGTAAGGAGCTGTTGTCAAGCAGTGTCTTACTTGCTTTTCTCATTGCTGAGACAAAATACCTGGCACCCAAGGTTAAAGGAGGAAAGGTTTATTTCGGCTGTCAGTTTGTAGAGGTTTCAGTCAGTAGTTGGCTGGCTCCAAGGCAGGGTGGCATGGCAGAGAGGCAGCCAGCACTGAAGTAGCAAGCAGCAAGCAGCAATCAACAAGCAGCCATAGCAGCCTCTTTCTGTCCCTTATGTTATATCCAGGCTACCAGCCCTTAGGGTGGGCAGCACTCACACCCAGGATGGGCTTTTCCATTATCCACACCCAGAACTATGCCAAACCAATCAGTGGACTAATTTAATAATCACACACCCTTAATTCCAGCACCACACACTCTAGATTCAGCCACCCCTGAAAAAGCCCCACCTATGACCACATGAGGCTTTGGGGGGACATCTAGACACAAGCCATAATAAACAGGGAGAGTAATACTGACACCATATTGGATGGAGGGGTACACTTGGGGACTTAAAGCAATAATATTAACAAACATTTCCAGTGCACCTCTTCCTTAGTTATGAAAGGTTCTAGACTTTATCTTGGGCTTGTCACACCAACTGAAACCCTTGAATATAAACCCCCTGCTCTCCGCCCTCCTGTGTGGTGCCTCTGCAAGAAAAAGGCTGTAAAACACTTGGCATAGAAGAAGTGCTCAGTACTATAATCATAAATCCAATACACATAGGGTTAGACTAGGGTCAAGGTCAAGGTTAGAGTTAGGTGTATTATTTACCAACATTAGAGCACCTACTGTGTGCAGGACCCTTAGCTATGAGCATGGTACTATATACTCAGTGGGTGTATTAGCTTTTTTGTTGCTAAGACACAATATCTGACATCCACAATTTAAAGGAGGAGAAGTTTATTTTGACTCTCCGTTTTCAGAATATTCACTCCATGGTTGCTTGGGTCCAAGGCAAAAAGAGCATGGTAGATATTATGGGTTGTATCTAGATGTCCTCCCAAAGCCTCATCCAGTCATAGTGGTGGGGCTTTTTGGAGATGGCTGTATCTAGAGTATATGATACTGGAATTAAGGACGTGATACTGGGATTGATTCATGGTACAATGTTAGGATTAAGGGTGCCCCAACCCTTGGTGTGAGTGATACCTGCCCTAAGGGTGGGTAGCCTGGATAGAATATAAGGGACAGAAAGAGGGCTGCTGTTGATGCTGCTTGTGGCTTGCTGCCTCTTCACTACTTTATTGCTTTGCTGCTTTCTACCCACCATGAACTGTTTCTCCTCTGTGATGCTCCTCTGCCATGCCACCCTGTCTTGGAGCCAACCAACTATGAACTGAAACCTCTACAAATTGTGAGCTACAATAAACATTTCCATCCTTTGGATGTCTGGTATTTGGTCTCAGCAATGAGAAAAGTAAACAAGACAGAGGAAGAACCTGGCAGAGGTTTATCTTGCCTCACAGTTTTCAGAGGATTCAGTCTATGGTTGGTTGGCTCCAAGGCAAAAAGAACATGGTAGAAGGGTCTGATGGAGGAAAGCTACTCACCTCATGGAGACCAGGAAGCAGAGAGAAAGAGGAGCCAGGGACAAGACTATACTCTTCCAGGTCACACCCTCTGTGGCCCACCCCTTTCAACCAGGCCCCACCTCCAAACAAGACTTTTAGGGGACATTTTACATCTAAACCATAACAGTGATCATCTAGCTGTCTGTCCAGAGAACAGAATTATAGGGTGTACAATTACAGGAACCTGAGAACTTATTTATTATAACACCTCCCTTTATTCAGACCATAGCATTCCACAATACACACACACGTGCACCCACAGAATGCGTGACCAAAAAAGTGCACTGATTCCTTTTGTGCTTCCAGTGGTTCCAGGGTCCCTGTCTTGGAGCCACACACAGAATTTCTTTTCCCCTTCAAGTGAGCACTTAGCATTTGGGTCCCAGAGCCAGGCTGCTTCCTAGCTGGATAACTCTGAGCAAGACAGTTAGCTTCTCTGACCATCAGTTTTCTTATCCATAAAATGGAGTCACATGGTTGCTCTAAGGAGCACATGAAACAGGAAGAGCATAATGCCTGGAACATTAAACACTCAATAAATGCCAGCTGCACTGCTAATTTAGGTGAGAATCAAGGTTGTCCACTGACTCACTTCTTTTCTAGTGTTCCCCCGTATGTGCTTTACAAGGTTTCCTGAGTGAGGTTAGGGGCTTTGTGCCTGTCCTTTGCCCACAATTTGACTATCACCCCTCCCCTGGACCTGTCCTCCTGTTCACTTTGCCAATTCTGAGTCACTCTCACGGTCACTCTGACTCTAGAACCTGTGCCCTTTGTCACAGTGTCCCAAGAAATGGAGGAGGATAGAGTCAGGTAAGAAAACAAAGCTCTAGTTCCCAAGATGCCCACAGAACCATCTTCAGAAAGCACCTCCAGGAGCCTGTTTCTCCTGAGTTGCCTCTTGCTTTGAATAGGGAGTTTGGTCCAACAGTGGAGCCAGGTTGTCACATGAGGATCCAGCCACAGGTGGGCTTACAGGGGCATTGGGTTTGTATTTGGCCTTGGTGGTGAACTAATGATCTGTTATGCCCTTTCAAGTTATCTGTCAACTCACTAATATGGACCCACCCAGAAAGATCCCCAAAGGCTGTTATGATTGTGGAGATGGCTTCTACAACCCGGTCACAAGGATCATCAGGGACTACAAGAGCCACTTTCTGAGAAATGCAGGTAGGTTTGTGCCAACACACTGCAGCATGCTCTCTCTTCCCTCTACCTCCATATAAGATTGTACATGTGTATGCACACATTCGTGTCTGCATTTAATAAGAAAAGAGGATTTTGCTGATAGAAGACAAAAGTTGGTTATCTGGAAATTTCACTATTTGTACCCCTGGTTGGCATATCTGTACACAGGCATAGAGTTATATCAAGAACACTTGCGATCTAAGTGTGACAGCACATTAAATGTAGCACTGAAAGGACCAAAGTATTTATTTTGGATGCAAGCATTCAAATAGTATTTCATGGATACCTACTGTATGCTAGACACTGTGGTTAGTGTTGGGGGTAAGACAGAGCAAAGCTAGACATGGATTCCTTTCCCTGTGAAGCTACTATTGCGACAGGTAGGAGACAAGGACTGTAAACAACTGATTACATCATGGAATAAGCACCATTGAAAGGGAAAACATGTCTCTCAGGGAGGGAGAACGGGCATCCCAGAGAGGTGGGAGTGATACTGCAGAAGCGCCATGAAGGGGTATGTAATGGAGAACTGGCACTTCAGAGAAGATTTGAGAAGAACCTGGTATCTAAATGTCACCAATTAACTGAGGGTTCTTTTGCTCACTTTGGATGGAACTCATGAACACGTGGAGTGTAGCTCTTTTGGTGTTGATAGCCCTGAGCTTTGAGTGCCCGTGGCTATCAGCTCTTAGTGTTAGCAGCCCTCTGCCACTGTTCTGGCAGCAAGAGCCAGCAGCTACCAGCAGCCCTCAGGAACTTGTCTGGTCACTGGAGATGGTAGCTCCCAGCAGCTCTCCATGACTCTGTCATTTTCTGCTGCTATCTGTCTTCCATGTCATCAGCCCCAGCTGCCGGCTGCTTTCAGCACCAGCGATCTTAGTATACCAGCCAGCCTGCTGCACTCGGGACAAAAATCATGAATAAGCAAAAATATGTCACCCAGAAGAGGCTTTATTAGGACTTATGCTGCATCAGAGAAGGGAAAAGTACAGGGACTGATCCACTAAGGGTGGCGGGGGGTGGTGTTGCTTATTACAAGAAAAGGTGGGCTTGCACATGTGTGGTGTTGGTCGTGGGTATGGGAAAAGCTCCTCAGAGACCTGATTAAGGATGGCTGCAGAGGGGTAGAGTCATCCAGAGAGGCTGTGGGGTGGAGTTATCTGGGATGGGCCTGACTGAAGCTTGCTGCAAAGCTCCAAAGCAAATGTCTCCCAGAGCAGCCTTGAGGTGGCTGACATAGCCGTGGTCAGCTGGGAGGTACTTGGGGCAGGCGTGGAAGAAAGGAAAAGTAAAGTATCTCTTGGGGAGTGCTGGGCTTTTCTGTCCAGAGTAACAGGGAATCAACCACAGGCCTGGGGAAGTGGTTCCCGGCCAGAGGAAACAGACCAGGTACAAGGTTAGAGGGGTGCAATACCATACAGTGTGTGAAGGCTGGTGAGCCCCTCAGCCAGCTGGAGGAGCCAGAACCTCACTTTAGTGCGTGAACTCAACGTTGATGAGACTGAGATGAACTGATTTACAGTGACTAAACTCACAGGAGACAATGTAAATAAGAACATAAACATCTTTCTTTAATGCAATGATCCTGACCTTTCCCTTTTCTGGAGTAAAGTCCTGCTAAGGAATAACAAAAACTATGAACCCTCTTCCCAGAAAAATGCCTACATGTGCTCACACACACATATATTTACACATGCACATGTGTCTACACACACACACACACACACACACACACACACAATTTTGCATACAGTCCTAAAGAATTAATTGTCCCTCTAAAGATTCAGGTCTTAGATTCAGAAACTTTGCTCTGTAATGAAAAGAAGAAACCAAATGGACTAGAAAGTTGTACTGGTGGTGGACAGCATCCTCTTTCCACAGAGAGATTTACTTGTCAGTCAGTGATGATCAGAAAGTTGTCCTGTGAGGCTGGCATAGGAGCAAAATGAATCATCACATATCCTGTGGCCCGAATCCTAGAGCTGGGTACCACTGGAGGAACATGACAATCACACACCCAGGGGCCTGGCTCACATTTCTTCAATGACTCCCTCTTTTCCATGAACTCAGGGCACTGCCATGTGGCACATTAAATTCTGCTGTATGTTAACACACTTATGTGATGTTTCTTGGTCCAGTGAGTGAAGAAGCTGTCACCTTAAGCAATGCTAAAACAGGTGTATTTACTGAAGGCTTCTTAGGACTTTCAATACACTGATATGATTTGCCCTTTTCCTTTGTGGCATTTTTTCAGTTGTAATTACCTATTTATGTAATGATTTGCTCAATGTCTGTCTCCCAGCAGACCGTAGGGACCATGTGAGAAGGGCCTCTGTCTTGTCTCCACTTGTGTTATCAGGGCCAATCAGAAAAGCAGAAAGAATGCAATATCAGGAGCTCAACCAACTGGCTCTTGGAGGGCTGAGAAAGCAGAAAGGAGAGGTTGAAGTAACAGGAAGTAGCCCCAGAAGGCTGCTCCCACCTCAGGGACTGGCACCCAGAGTAAGAGACTGGGTCATGAAAACCTGGAATGTCAATGCAGGGACCCCAGGGCCTGTAGCCCAGACTTGCAAAAGGAGGACACTGCCAGCAGCGCTGGCTCCCTCAGTGCTTCAAGGACAGCCCTGCCAAGCGAAGACCCTGACCTCAGAGGAGGGAGTACTGTCTAGCAGAGCCTCCTAAAAGAGCAATGATGCTGATTCTGCCAGTGTAGGGGAAAAACCGGAAACTGGAAGTGAAATGCCATGACATGACATCAGTGTGAACAGCAGGCCATCAGAATGCCATGCAACTCCTGTGTCTCTGTGCTTTGCAGCTCGTAACAAAACAGAAACACAGTTCAGTTAGTCTCAGCGCCTGCGCAGCAAAGCAGTCAGAAGGGCTGGTGTGGGGCCCACAGTCAGTAGCTTCTAACCAGCCCACCCTTTCCTTGCGCAGCACCCACATACACTCTTAGATGTTAAAACTTCAGAAGAAAAAAGAAACGTGATCCGTACTTGTATAACAAGTTGCAACTATCTTTAGTGAAGATTCTCATGCTCTCCCACAATGGGGACACCAAAAATGCCCAATAGACATTGTATCCATCTTTGAGTAATGTTGTTCCTCAGCATCCTACCTGAATGTCTATAATTTATAAGCCATTGCCAGCAATCCTTCTATAAAATAGTAAGGTGGGGGAGTAAACAAATCAGTTAAAACAAATATATATATATGTATATAGATATATTATGTAAGTATATAGAATGACCGATGACATAGAAATCTACTCATCCGTAGATATTTGCACATAAAAGCAAGGAAGAGGGCCAGGATTTAGCTCAGTGGTGCTGCTGCCTGCCTCGCAAGCACAAGGTCCTGAGCTCAGTCCCTGGTACCAAAAAAAAAAAAAAAGCAAGGAAGAAAAACTACATCATCACGATAGTTATCTTTATGCAAGTGGGCATTAGGCTGTAGATAATATTTATAAATATTTCCTTTCATTACCTACTCCATGTCCTCCACCCTATACTTCCATTGGCCTGGGTTTTTTTGTTTGTTTGTTTTGGTACCGGGGATCAAACTCGGGACCTTGTGCTTGCGAGGTAGGTAGTGGAACCACTGAGCTAAATGCCCGACCCCTGGCCTGGTTTTTTATTTGGTAGAGTAAACCACACTTTCATTCTTGAAGGGTCTGATTCCTTACTTGTCCTGCCAAAACTGTCCAAACCAAGCCAAGAGTTTGATTAGTTGGCTTCATTTTTTATTAACTTTTACTATTGATGTTGGAAGTACTAAGGGGTGGCCTGGGTTCTATATAGTGTCCCCTTCCCTCTACCAAATAGCAGCAACCCAGTTTCCCTGGCAATCAGGAACAATCACTCCAGTAGGATAGTATCCTTTTCTTTGCTTATTGTTTCAGTGGCCTAAGGAGCTAAAATGGCCAAATGGCTGTTTCTTCTTCCATTTCACTAGCACCATTGTGTCACTTGATGGGACCTTTCTCCTTAAGAACCATAATTTTAAAAAAATTTTTTGGTACCGGGGATCGAACTCAGAACCTTGTGCTTGTGAGGCAGATAGCGGAATCACTGAGCTAAATCCCCGGCCCAAGACTATAATTTTTGAGCTGGTAAAATTCAAAGTTGAAGGACAAGAAGCAAAAATTCTACTTAGACACTGCCATACTCGGTACCAACCACAAGCCTAATACATAGTAGATGTTCATTAAGTATATGTGAAACGGGGTAGGGGTGGAGCTCAGTGGTGGAGCACTTGCCTAGAATGCATGAGGTCCTGGGTTCTATCCCCAGCACTGTGAAAGAAAAAAAAAGTTATGTATGAAGCACATTAAACAAGGAATGAATATGTGTCAGGGAGATATATTTATTCCATTTTCCAAATGCATTTGAGCATGAAATTAGTTGGGAGGTGGAGGAGCAGGGAGCATTTTAAGGAACTAGGATCCTATGGAATACATCCTGGGGTGTTCTGGGATGGTACAATCTTTCTTTGGTTGCAGCACAATGCAGGTGATTCATGTCCACCTTTTTAGATTTGAATGTATTCTACCTCTGCCTCTCTGATATGTTGTGTTAGTTACTTTTCTCTCATTGCTGAGACAAAATACCCGATACCCAAAGTTAGAGGGGAAAGGCTTTATTTAGCTTGTGGTTTGTAGATGTTTCTCAGTTCATAATCAGCTGGCTCCAAGGTAGACTGGCACATGGCAGAGGGGCATTGCTGAGGACAAACAGTCCATGGTGGATGGACACAAGGTAGCAAAAACAACAAGGGGATTTTAACAGTGCCTTTCTGCCCTTTTTGTCTTATCCAGACTACCGGGATTAGGGCAGTGTCAAGCCAATCAGTGGACTGGTTTAGTAAACATACGCCCTTAATCCCAGCATCGCACATTCCGGGTTCAGCTACCTTTGACCGAATGAAGCTTTGCAGGGACATCGAGACCCAAACCATAACAACTAATGATATATGAAGGGAAG